GACTCACGTTCAAAGTGGCGACGTAAAAGACAGTGACCACGCTTGCAAAGTCAACACTCGCACCACTTTATTTCATGTACGGTCATTCCAAAACTAGCACAAATTAATTTCATGTATGTCATGGTCATTACAAAGTGGTATAGATTTGTGAATACTGATTCAAGTTTTTGTAAACATATTTTTTCACAGCTATAACCGGAAGAAAACTGTAGAGATGTTAGTCTACAAAGCTCAAAAGTACAGAAGTATTATTTATACCATGGTCATATAGAACCCTATTTGTTTTACATTTCAGTATTTGTGTATGACTTAATAACATATTTAGTTATTTCCATTTAAATGCTCTGGAATTTTCTTTACAGTCATGCTTAAACTTCTGGAGTGAAGCCAGATAAAGCAGTTAAAATTAATATATATATGTTACCCGCCGGTATCAATCTTAAAAGTAACGTTAGAAATAATGACGTTGTAAGCGACGTCAGACTTCTATGTATGACGTATCTTTAAAGTGGTGTCAAATCATCAAATATTGACGGTCTGACATTTTTTCATATCATTTTGTTCAGAAATGTCTCTAGATTTCTAAATCATAAAAATCACAAAACTGATTTCTTACTACTTAAGGACCCTTATCCAAGCCGGCGGCTCATTTACAAGTGTAATAAATAACACGAAACAACTAAAACCTTGTGTTAATAAGAGTAGATGGTTGTAGTATATAACATGTGCTACCTAGGAGTAAAACTTAAATTCAATAATAGATTCAATCATATACAGAAACAGTTATCTGACCAAGGACGAAAGGCCATGTATGCTCTTTTTTCAAGCTCTTCTAACTTGAGCCTAAACTGTACAACGTTATTGCATTTATTTGATACGTATGTTTGCAGTATATTGCATTAAGCATGTGAAGTTTGGGGATCTACAAAAGGTACGGATATTGAGAGGTTACACTTACACTTTTGTAAGAAGATATTAAAAGTTAAGAGGTCGACTTGCAATGCAATGGTTTATTTTGAATTAGGTCGACATCCTTTGGAATATATAACTATAAGAAAATTCAGAATGATAAAATATCGGTTAAAACAAATGGATTCAAAAAATTGTATTTTGCAAACTGCGTATTCCTTCTTAAGTAGTAGCAATACAGGCAATTAACTGGGTTAATTATGTCAAACATTGTCTTTTTTTCTCTCGGATTCGCAGATGTATGGACAAATTACTATTCATATAACCATAAAAGTATTTTGTATATGATATAGCAAAGAATATTTGATCGTTGTCAACAATATTTGAGAGCGCTATTAGAAATTTTCTAGTATTTGCTTGTGAAACAGAGGTCATTATTTTTCCAAGGCCTCCGTTAGGAGTCGAACCTGGGACCTCTGCCTCACTAGTCTTACAGTCTACCAAATGAGCTAAAGAGAAATTCTACCTAGCCAAGTCAGTAGGAAGCGGCTAGTATTTCATCAGGGTCACACTTGCATTGGAACAGGAGTCCTGAAGTTTTTTTTTAATTTGAAACTGTTGTTGAATTTATGGGAAACTCTTAAGTTAAGGGAAGTCCTTGAATGCTTTCCTTTTGAAAAATGTAAGTTGAGGAATCTTGCTAAGGTATCGGATATCGATGAAACTGAGGTCTGAGGTATGTTGGGGAAACTTTTATTTACTTAACCCTTTCACCACCGTAGACCATCATGGACTTGTCCAGATGAATATATGGTAGAGTCTACTCAAGTTACTTAGGGGTGAAAGGGTTAACATTACAGATACAGTGTAAGCCAGATAAACTATGGAACATCTGGTGGGGTTATCATAAATCTTCTGCAAGAAGTAGGGTCAACAGTTTCAGCCATGCTTCTCCCACGAACATCTCCCATAGAGAGTCTTTCACGGTAAGTATTTCCTATTTCATCGTCAGTGCCTTTGAAAAAGTTGGCTTTTGTTTTGATGTATGTGTTACACAGTTTTCAGACAAACCAGATCCGAGATGCCGATAGTTCAAGACCAGCCACAAAGCAATAACTCCCGTGTAATTTGACTTCACTGCCATCGTTCAGCGACATGGACCTGTTTTGCACGAGAATAACGTTTTCGCAGTCGTACAGGTAGAAAATCATCTGTTTCCTCATCGTTCCTATGCAAGGAATCGAATGATGCTTAGAATCTGGATGTTTTTTTCTTTTGTAAAAACGAAAACAAAATCGTCTGGGCCAACATTTGGTGCTTAAGTGCTTAAAATCTTCAATACTTTCATTTTGGAAATAGTGCTTAGTCTCAGTTTGTGATCTGCCTCCTGAGCTACTACTGTCTTTGGTGAAGTCAACAATGACTGGGACCTCCAAATCTTCTCCAACCATTATATATCTATATCCCCGTGCCATACACTGTAGTGTAGTGACCTGTAAGTGAATCAGAAAATGAATATTTAAATATACATGTCCCCTACATTGTCTTTCGCATCATTTTGTTATGAAGATTAGGATCATCGTATCACTGCCAAAAACCATAGCTTTACCATGGAACATATGTTTCCAGCATGGCTATGATTTTAATAAATCCCTTTTCGGAAAAGAAAACAATGTCACATACTTACCAACTCTCCCTTTTTCAGAGGGTGACTGCATATTTTCGAGTATTTTCAAACAGTGAATTTGCTAAATTATTCCGTTATTTTTTTAGATCTGATGATTTTATATGAACAAAATACATCAGCTCAAATTAAGTCATTTAAAAGTTGTTGTTTTTCCCTTGAGTGCACATACACTCATTTATACTTTTAATTCTGAGCATGTACCTATCTCCCTTAACGATTTCAAGATCAGTTCAGTTTCATTTTCAAGATCAGTTCAGTTTTATTCTGTGTATCAGTGGGAGTTATCTCCCCTGCGTTGTTTCAGGTGAAAGATGCATGAGAATCAAACGTGCATCAATGATAAAAAAACATTACCTTAGTATATTTGGCTCCTGTGTGGGTCAGGGTTTTTCTGTAATAAGTACGATAGGGAAAGCACCTGACATCTATATTTATTTATAGAACAGACTGATGATGATGCTGGTACAGGCAGATACTATTGTGTAACAATAATGGGTTATTTGATTAATATTAACCCTTCAACCATAGGAAACTTTAGTAGACTCTACCATACATTCATCTGGATAAGTCCATTAAGGTCTACAGTGGTGAAAGGGTTAATACTCTATGATTGGGTTCAACATATGATTACAAACTTTTCTAAAATTGATCTTGATTAAATTCTGAATTTATTCCCACATATTGTGTGTGTCCACAATGCATACCAATACTGGTATTTCTAAATTGATCGTCAACTTTAGAACGGCAGCCACATCTGCATTCGTGATCTGATTTGGTACGTTGACTGTGATTTCTCAGGATGTAGTTGGAATTTGGTGCCAATTTCGTCAAGATATGTTCAGCTAACGCCACTGACAGTCGAGTTTCATTATTGAACAAATCTTCTCTTTTGTGGAGGTTCCTTATGAACTCCATTGATCCCGAAGACAATGGGGGAACAGAAAACTGTATAATTATATTAATAAATTAAAAATAGCTAGACATTTCAATTGGGGAAAATTTTAGAAGTTTTTTGCTCTATGAAACACAGTAATGAATAAAAGATTTATATCCGTATAAGTACCTATGTTCATTTTACTAATTACACAAATTTGAAATGTTACAACATGTGCATAAATCATACGGTAATAACTAATATGATTTGTAAAAAAAAAATTATCAGTACGTTTAAAGGTATGCATGTGCACAGCTTTCATATGTGTCATCAAAATAAATATTAAAAAGATGCATTTCAAACCTTAATTGAGACGACATCAATTGACATAAAAATGACGTATGACGTCATACTGAAATGATAGTTATGAAGATCAAATTAGCGGATTTTTTTATCTTCAATGTTCACAAAACTGATCGATCATGTGATAAAAAATATATAGTTTAAGCGAACTTCTGGAACGAAAAACAAAACCTGTTTCATTCCGCGATGTTTCTGGTGATATGGAAACAAGTATAAGATCGTATAGATATGTGGTATTTTTATCTGATAGAACACAAAAGTTAGCATCACTAAACCTGGATCGATTCCGCGGGACTGGTACTTATCATATTTCAGCAAAAAAAGTTGACAGAAATTAACACCTTGTTTATTTTGCATTTTATATAGCACACGCACACATATTTAACATGTGATCAACGGCAATATAATAGCTCACCAAGACTTAAAAAAATGATAATACAACACACACTCAACAGAAACGCAACTTATTTAATTTACAGCTTCCGATAAGGTTCATGAGGGACGCATTTTTTTCTAAACTTCACTGCAGTGGAAAAAGAAAAAGTAACTCTTTCTTAGGTCAGGTCTCTCCTCAACATGTAAGAGACCAACAAATTAAAAAAAAAAACGGGATTTTTTTATTCAGTGTTTCTTTGTTTCAGGTTAAACGTCCGCGTAATAGACAGGGTCATATTAAGACAGAAAAATCTAAGTCCCTGTATTGCGTGTAAAAATCATCTGAGTTCTATGGGATTTTGGAATACAATTTTTTTTTTTAAACTCAAATACATTTTTTTCAATTGAAATACGGATATATATAGAGAGACGGAACACTAAAGACTATATCTCCTAATACTCAAAGTAATTTTAAAGCGTTTTTTTTTGTAAATTCTATTTTTACAGTCACACATGGACATTTTATAACTTAATTTTTATAACTCTATATTTTAAATTTGAACTAAAATATATGTATTTAAATCCAAATGCTTATTTTTATTCAAATATCAAAAATACAATTATGAATATTGCTACGTTTGACATACTTTATCAGATCCTAATCTACCAAAACGTTTGTCCTTTAAATAAAATCTGTTTCTTGCATTAATTTTGTTACATTTGAAATGTGTATATATCGTGGCGCACCTGTGTGACGTCAGTCAGCACGTGCTTCCTTTGTAAGCAGTGGTCATCCAGTACAGAGGAACACTTCAACACCCAGCGCTGTATATTTTCCAGGAACTTGCACATGTTTAGGTCGTTATTAGCTTCAAACATTGGACAACAACTAAGACGAAACAACGGACTTGAAATTTGTGGAATTATTTGTTTTCGGGAAACAATCTGGAACTTGTGTAAAGCATAATTTTTAATTTCTACAGTGCAGTGACGCGTGCATTGTCATGGCTGGCTGACTGACCACACTAGATAACCACCGTCAGCGGCGCCAGAGTACTTGTCAACTCTTTCAGGTGCTCAGGCGAGTTCTAATCATACGCGGCCCACTGTTTACAAGAGTATGACCACCTCAACCAGAAGCTCTAGTACTTTTAAAAGTTATTCCAGAAGGGCCACAACAGAAGGATTTAGAATGAGTGGAGTCCAACAAGAACTTACAGATGGACATTGGCGCCCACCATACAGAGACACATAAAGCCAGATGTAGTATACACGTCTATGCACAATAGTAAGACCTGTATTGGTCCTATATTGAAGATGTAAGTAGGATTTTGTTTTTACTTGATTTAAAAAATATTTTATTGATATACTCAAATGGATTGGGCACAGATTATAACAACTTATAGAAGCCCTCTCCTCAACTATAATATTACATTGTTAGTGATAGCGACATATGCCAATCAAAATAATTGTATAAAAACAAGGAACATAGAAGAGAAAAAAAACAAAAAATAAAAAGATAGTTTTGAAAGACAGAAGAGATCATAGAGATGAGTAAGTATATTTCGAATTATACAAAAGGTTCATTCAAAGTATGAATATTTTGAAACTACTTAAACTTAAACTACTGCATGGCACGCACTAGCTACACAATCTTTTTACATCAGCTGTTCGTTTGTCCATATAAAACACATTCCTTAGAATCCTTCCTCGAGTCATTCCTGTTCCTTCTAGGTAACATATCAAAGTGCCATGCAGCGGAATTATTTCAATTTGCAAAGAAAATATATATATATACAATTTGCTGAACCAGTAACACTATTGATATTCTATAGACCTACAAAGCAGAGTGAGAGGTTTAGGAGAGAAGAGATTATGACAGATTTGGTTTTAACTCTTTTCTCTTATATGTTGGATTGAGTCATGCCAACAGTCCAATCATCTTGTGCTATGTTTTTTTAGGGAAAATCTTAATGTTACTGTGTTTGGTTATGGTTTTTTTAAGCTAGGTTGTTGTTTGGACGATATTCCAGCACATGTATTTCATATCCCTGGCTGTCATAAATTTATTCCGATGAAGGTGCGTGAAGCTAAAAATGAAAGTATATGTTAAATAGGATGGCAGAACGAACCTCTATACTTTCATAAAATACATTCTGTCGCTATTACAAACTTCAACAGTCATACTTTTGAAAAGATGTTTGCCTAGGGGTCATCTTATTGCCCTATCGATTTCTATTAAGCCATTCCCACCTCCGAAGCATCATCGATACTCCAGGGGTTACGCTCACTTACGCTCTCTGCACCCCTGGAATATGTCATATCAAAATTGAAGACGCGAAGGTAGCTGTTTGATTGGTTTCGTGTAAAATAAGACCTGACCACTCGCCAGGCTGATACATTTTCTTTGAAGATGACAGAGGAGCGACGCCCGACTTCAAAGCCAGTCATTTTTACCGTTTCGCGACTGCGAGATATTCTTTTAATGTACATGAAAGGTTCTTCTTCTTCTTTATACGAGGGCTCCATCAGTTTGATGATTATGCCATCGGGGGTCCTATTGTAGAGGCGTGAAGGGGTTATTTATAGTGATTAGGGGTGGGGTTGTGTTTTTTTTGTGATTTTTTTTGTGCAAGGTATAGATAAAAAGTTAAAATCTGGTGTATGTACTAGTGTGTGATGAGGGCTTCAAGGGCTGTGTAGGGTAAGTGTGCCTTGAAGTCCTCTAGTGTTGTGCATTGGACTGCTGCTAAGGGGAGGAGATTCCATTGTGTTACTGTGTGTGGGAAGAATGAGTATTTGTAGGTGTCCTTTGTAGCAGATATGTGTTTGTATGCGTACGGGTGTACCTGTCTGGTGCGGGGGTCTACAGGTGTGAGTATATGTGTTGGGTTTAAAGCTACGATTCTGTGTATAATTTTGTAAAAAAGGATAATTCTAGTGTATAAGCGTCGTGTTTGTAGTGTTGGCCATTGAAGTGTGTGGATCATGTCTGTTACGGAACTAGTGTTGTGGTATCTGTTTTGTACGTAGCGTGCTGCTCTTCGTTGTGTTTTTTCTATTTGTTTAATTTGGTTTGTGTTGTGTGGATCCCAAATGG